TATATTCGAGTTGTAGTCATATCCAGTATGCGATATTTATCGTACAGGTATCGGAATATTTCTATAAACATGGCTGTTGTAAGAATTGATATTCTTAAACACAGAGCTTACAGCTAAGCATCTATCAGCACCCACAATTCCTTGATAAATGAGCATGTGTATATATCTCCTTTCAGCGGATTTTCTGAAGGTGGTGTTTACATGCAACAAATTTCCAATTAAAACCGGCATAATCCAGGGGTGGAAATCAGATTATTGTCTCAATCTGAATTGGGCAATAGGATTATAGCGTTTACATGACTCAATACAAATTACAATATTGCCAAATTCCGATTAATATCAGAATATGGATGTGCATGTAAACGTAGCCACTATCTGTATTTCTCTTCAATATGGTGAGATTATAGAGAAAGCATTTGTTTTGACCTTCTTGAGCATAGTAATTTGCTGTGCTTCAGCCTTCAGTTGGTTGACGGTCTCTTGTTCTCTTTCCAGGTCATTCTGTAGAGTTTGTCTCCACTCCCTCTCGATTTTCAAGTCTGTTTCCAGCTGCAACCTACAGAAAATAGGAACATTTCAAATGAAACAGCTCATATAAAAACATGTATATTAAGATATTTCTAGTATTTGAAATGTTTAGTAGTAGGTCAACTCATCTGATAGGCTTCATCAGAATGTCAGTTGCCTTGTCCTATTACTGCCAGTTAAGATTAATATATTTCACCACTTGTCATTAGAACCACACATACACCCACTGCACAGACGAAGAAAGAAATGGCTTTAATGATTTGTAAAAGTTTTAAAACAACAACTTACATCTGCTTCTCTCTTTGGGCGATCTGCTTTTGGAGGCTGTCTGCTTTGTTGGCAAAGTCCTGCTTGAATCGGCGCACGCCATCCTCGGTGCCGAGTCGCTCCCTCTCCGCTTCCTGCAATCTGGTGTAATTCAAACCAACTGGGTAAAACTGAGGCTCCGATCACAAAGGGTAAAGGGGATGGGAATGGGATGGAACAAATAATAATAAAACTCTAGGGCTAAAACTCAACAGGCAAGCTACCTCATGATCGAAGGAAATATGTCCAAAGCCAGATGAAAGGATAAAAAATAAAAAGCTGAACTGAAATCTGAAAAGAGGTCAATTTAAAATGTAAGCGCGTTGTGTTCGTTTTACGTTCGCTGAAGCAGTTGGACGTTTACTATCAAATAATTCACAAAATAGATCAGTCATTATTTTAAAATGTCAAATTTATTGATGATCTGGATAAAAGACAAAATTAATCATAGTTTTGCCTTAAAATTGTACATTAGTATACTTGCCATGTTACAGTGCCATGAAAACAAACTTTGATGAAATCATTAATTAATCAAGTGGAAAAAACAATCAGTTAAACAAAACCTTAAAAAAAAAAAAAAAAAAAAAGCCACTAAAGGTAAGTAAAACCGGTTACTTTCACAATATTTATACTACCAAACGTGTTTTGTTACAGGAAAAAGAGTAAATGTATCTTAATTTCAGAAAGAAATATCTTTAACGAGTTTGTACTGATGTTCTGTGTCTGTACTGGCACATTTTACAAACGACATGGCAAGAGTTCGTGTCTGGCTGAGCAGGTCTTTATCGCTAGTTTCATGTTTAATACAGGAAGGGTTTTTAAAACATTATAATGAGGAGAGACAAAAAAATGGCGTAACATGAGTGTTAAACGGGATAGTGGATGAAGAGAAAGAAGAGAAAAAGGGGAAGAACAAAAAGGGAAAGAGGATGTAAACATCAGTGAATTTCCATGTCATCCAAAGCTTTGAAAAGTCATTTAGCAATGCATTCTTTAAATAAGCACAACCGAGATAGTGGTAAATCAATGAAGAAGAAAAGGGAAAGATGGTGTATGTGTGTGTGTGTGTGGACAGAGACAGGTCTGCTCTGACAGCATCACGCCACACAACCAAATAACAAAAAACACTAATGCATGAGTGGCCAAATGGAAGAAAGAACTTCAGTATGAATATGGAGAAAACAACATGCAGAAATAATGTGCATGCCAGTCTGGCAGATAAGAAATGCTGGAGCCTATTTAATCAGGTGCGGTTAGACTTAAGCTGACCGTAGTCAACATTAGCCTAACATGCACACACACACACACAAATATATCCAGAGGTATATTGTATGTACATTGTATTTTTTATTTTTTTTAAATAATAGTCTCATGAGTAAAAACAGGTAATATTTTGTATTCCTCTTACATTTTTATTTTTTACAACGAAAGAGCTGTGTAATTGTAATATTAGTAGGGCTGGGAGATTTAAAAAAAATTTTTTTGTTTAGTTTTACCCTCCATCTGTCCATTTTCTGTACTGTTTCTCCTACACAGGGTTGCAGGGACATGGAGCACAAGGTAGGGGGACACCCTGGACAGAGGGTACAATCGCACACACTCAGACACCATGCCAATCAGTCTACACCACCTGTCTTTGGACTGGAGGAGGAAACCCCCGAAGCACGGGGAGACCATGCAAACTCCGCACACAGGTGGTGGTGGGAATCAAACCCCCAACTCTGTTGGTGCGACACAAACACGCTAACCACTAAGCCACCGTGCCCCCTTGTTTAGTTCTTACATAATGCAATTAAAAACTAACTCAATTTATCAAAAAAAATTATTAGAATAGAATTTGGAAAATGTAGATGTGCAAAAATAGTAACAGTAATCGCCCAGCACTAATTTTGTAGTAGTCGTCTCCTAAACAAAGCTGTTTGCACCAGTGGAATATGACTTAGCATTATGCCAGACAAAACATCATTCGGTACGATATTAAACGTCACTCACCTTTGCTCTAGCTGTTTCATCGTAGCCGTTATCTGATTAGTCTTCTCCTCCAGTCGTGCAATCATGTCGTTCTTCTGCTTCATGCCATCATCAGACGTCTGGTGACAATTACAGTAAAGGATTATTTTTACTGTGTGGCCTTTATTAAAAATACAATACAATACAAACTGTTCACTTTTATAAGTGAAAACGGTTGCAACATTACCTGCATTTTCTGGTACATTTCCACATTGATGGCTTTAACCTCGTCTAGTTGCTGCCGAAGTCCAATCAAAGTGTCCTGCTTCTCATGGATGTCCTTCTCCAAGAGCTTCATGGCCAGTTCCATCTCCTGCTTCATGCTAACCTGCACCACCAGCTCATTCTCCACATCCTATAATACAGTGCCTTCATTTGTTATATTAAAATATAATTGATTACAAGGAGATTAAAGGAAAAGTCCACCCTGAAACATGTTTATAGTTTAATATTTGTGATGTTTGGTGATTCTGGTGCTTCTTTGTTGATTGGTGCTGTTATTTCATTATTCCTGTGAGAAGTAAGTGGGTGTGTGTCACACCGACATTACAGGTAGACATTGCAGTTACAATGGTGTTCAATAGGAGAAAAAAAAATGTAAGTGATCTCAAACATGCGTGATAATGGTCCGGTAAACTCCTAACCCCTAACTCCTTCATTTCTTATTCACTATTTCCAACAACATTTGATGTACAACCCCTGGCAAAAATGATTGAATCACCACACTTGGAGGATGCTCACCTGTTTTTTTACTTCATAGCAAATAAACAAGGTCACAGATATGACACAAAACCATTTTTGCTTAATAGCTGAACCTTCTGGCTTCATGAAACATACCTCAAAGAAATTAAATAAAAAATTTTAATTAATGGCGTATTGTATCCCAGCTCATCAACAACAACAAATCACAATTAGTACATTGCTGCGCCTCTGGCTTTTGATACGGCCTGAATTCTTTGAGGCGTGGACTTCACTAATGAAAAACAATATTCTACATCAAGCTGGTTCCAACTTTCTCGAATAGCAGTCGACAGATCAGCTATCCAGGATGGAGTCTTGTTATGGACCAATATTTTAAATTTCCATAATCAATTTTCAATCGGATTGAGATCTGGACTGTTTTCTGGCCATGTCATTGAGTTGATTGGCTGAGTTGATTGGCCTTTCCTGAAGAAAAGCATTAACACTCTTTGCTCTGTGGCAAGATTCATTATCATCTTGAAAAAATAACCAAACATATTTTCTATTACTCCCTACTACTATTTTCCACCCTATAATGGAATGTGAAAAATGTCCAAATTTCAATGTACACCTGTGCATTGACTGTTGAGGTTTCCCCTGGTCCTTCGCCTGACATGCAACACCATATCATAAATGAGTGGGGAAATTCTATTATTTTCTGCAGACATCTTTGTGTGTTTCATTAGAACGCCACCAGACAAAAGTCCCAACATCATCTCCTTGGCCAATGCAAACTCGTGGTTCATCACTGAATATCACTTTCATCCAATCATCCACACTCCATGATTGCTTCGCTTTAGCTCATTGTAACCTTGTTTTCTTCTGTTTAGGTGTTAGTGCAGTTTTTTTGTTTGGCTTTTCTATAAATCCCATTTCATTCAGCGATTTCTTACAGTTCTGTCACAAACATTGACTCCTGTTTCCACCCATTCGTTTTTCTTTTCTATTTTAAAGGCATATTGCTTTGAGTTTTCTATCCTGACATTTGCAGTCTTCCTTGCTATACCCGCATGTTCTCCTTTTATAACCTACCCATTTTGTTTATACTTTTTACCAAATTTTAGACTTTTACAGCTGACTGGGAACAACCAACATCTTTTGCCACACTCCATGGCAGATTTCCTTCTTGAATGAGTTTTAGAATCCTTTCCACTATTTCAACTAACAACTTTCTTGTAGGGGTCATGTTTCCTTTCAAAAAGTCCAAGGTTAATGTCTGTAAACACTCTCTTTTAACTGCAGACTAATTTGCATTTTTACATTTATGCTGGTATTTGTTTTAGAAATGCAAAAAAAAAGGTGATTTCATAATTTTTTCCTCTATTTGATCTGGAAAATAATATGCCAATAATTTCATTTATTTTGTTTGACATAGATTTCACAAAGCCAGAATGTTCAGATATTAGACAAAAAAAGGGCAGTGGTAGCTCAGTGGTTAAGATGTTGGCCTACAGATCGGAAGGTCGCGAGTTCAAATACCAGCACTGCCCAGCTGCCACTGTTGGGCCCCTGAGCAAGGCCCTTAACCGTCAACTGCTCAGTTGTATAAGTGAGATAAATGTAAGTCACTCTGGATAAGGGTGTCTGCCAAATACTGCAAATGTAAGTGATTGTGTCACATCTGTGATTTGTTTATTTGCTACAAAGCTGGGTGAACATCCTCCAAGTGTGGCGATTCCATAATTTTTGAATAATAAAAAATTTAATAATTTTTGTCAGAGATTGTAATATTTATCAGATATCCAAAGTCGAATTAGGAGAGACAGCAAATTCTGGTCTCAAAGTCTCAGAATGCAATGCATCTTTAGGAGTTACAGCAGAGACTCAGTTCAGCTAGTAAGTTTTCATCTATGAGATGAACACAATGGTGTTGATGGCAGTGTCGCATGAAAGTTGAAGCTTTGGAACCCAATATGTTTAAGCAGAGTGTATAGATGAGGAGGGGAGAAAGCTGGACATACTAAAGGACTAACACGCTGTTGCTGCATCACTCTCTTTAGTGTAAAAGGACTCAATCCCACTGGCACCACTGTGAATAGGTAGCCCATTGGCATTGTGGGTAGTGTAGACCCCAACATTTCAATGAATAAAGTCCCTATAAAATCAAAAGTTTTGTGGCGTTTGGTATGAATTATGGTAGCCTTAATTTTAATCTATGAGCTAGTGTTCTCCATAACGATGACAACATTCGCATTTAGAAGATAAATGCATTCAAAATTTACAGTCTCTCTCTACCACCAACATGGATCAACAATTTTGATGACCTCATTCTCCACTTCAGCTTCTCATCAGAAGCTCTCCATGTCTGAAGTGTCCCGCCCCAAACAGTTGCAGGTTTACTGGCTGTGAGGTAACCTAATGCTATTGACCATTTACAAAAGGGGGAGGAGCCACACAATATGTCCCACCCTGACTTCCTGTTTCAGTGGAAATTACATCAACACGTCGATTAACACCGTGTGTTTCAAGGCGCTTCACAGGGACTTTAAACTAAAATAGTCAACTCAGTATTTCATTATAAAATGAATCTTGGATGCCACTAAAGATCACATGTTAAATATAAAGATTTATATGCAAGTTATTCAGGGTGGATGTTTCCTTTAAGTATACACTGTACAACTGATAATCAAAGCCCATATGTAAATCATTAAAAAATACATGGTTGACCAAGCGTTCAATGTCATGATGTCCTGAATTTCAAAACATACAAAAAAAAAAACTCTGAAGTTCATTTAAAAGAGACCTGCCGGAGCTGACACTCCTCCTTAAGCTGCCTCCGTGCCTCGTTGTACATTTCGTCCAGGCCCTGCCTGGACTGTTTGTAGGTGTCCAGCTCACAGTGTACGTCCCCCTGTGTAACCTGTGCACAACAGAGCAGCATTTAGCCTCAGACTATTTTTTAATTAAAACCACACTGAAATTGTGATAAGCCATATTCCATAACTATTATGATAAGCGAATTATTCAGTTTTTACCCCAATTGTCTCCCAATTTTGGTAATTTGCCAATTCCCACCTACAAGCTAGCTATCACCAAGGCTAGCATGTTCTTCTTCTGAGACATGTAAAGCCACCACATCTTTGTAAACTGCTGCTCATGCTATGTCAGAAAGCAATGTAACACTTGGAAGAAAGCACCACCTGCCCTGTTCGACATACATGAGCTCAGAGATGCCCACAATTGGCTAGTGTTACTTTAACTGACAGGGGAGACAGAGTATGCCATCTCTTCTACCCAGAGAGCACAGCCAATGTTGTTCTCTTAGGTTCCTGGCCACTGATGGCTGTGGTTTCTTTGGGATTTGAACTTTAATTGGCTTTGTATTCATTTAACCTAATTAAAGAGCAAGAAAATTTCATTTTTTTATTTGCAGAAAAAACACGACACACTCAATGCAGTACCTCAAGACGCCGCTGAGCCTTCATGATAATTAATGAATTCTCATTTCTTAGCTGATGGTTCTCTTCCTGTAATTTGATGATGTTGTTTTTTGCTATTGCCAACTACAGGAGAAAAACAGAACTGCTGAGATCATATCAGGCTTCATAGTTGACGTTGAGATATTTTCTACATCGTTAATGTAAACTTTCCTACCTCCTCAATGAGTTTGGAATTAGATTTCTCTAACGAGTCCACACGGCCCTGCAGACCTTGAACCGTGGAACTAAGGTGGGGAAATGGTCTGCATTCAGCTTTAAAGGCCTTAAAATAAATATTATCATACACCTCTTACATGCTGATCTTACAGAACAGTATATGCTTACTTGAGCTGCCTGTTTAGTTCTTCAACGTAGTTCTTCTGGTCCAATATTGCAGCAATTTGACCATTTCTATTTAAGGAATGATAAAGTACACTATTATCAGTCTTGTAAAATACTCCACTTTGAACAGTAAAAAGTAAGGTTCTGAAGGTCCTTCTCATGGTACAAAATAAAATCTGTATATGAACATCATATACGCATGCCATTAGAGCTGCACAATTAATCACATTTTAAAATCAAATCTTATCTTTCACTGTGTGGGTGCATACTCATCTAGCCTTTTAATGTATGAATACATGTATATAGGTACAATATGTAGTTATATTTATTTACTATAATTGCATTTTTACTAAATATTTAAAGGATACACTTAATATAAATCCACCCATTTTCTGTACAGCTTATCCTACACAGGGTCATGGGGGACCTGGAGCCAATCCAGGGTACTCGAGGCACAAGAAAGTGGACACCCTGGATGGGGTGCTAGCCCATCGCAGGGCACAATCACACACACTACGGACAATTTGGAAGTGCCAATTAACCTACAGCACATGTCTTTGAACTGGGGGAGGAAACCGGAGTACCTGGAGCAAGCCCCCGAAGCACGGGGAGAACATGCAAACTTCACACAACCCAGGTAGTGCGAGGCAAACGTGCTAACCGTTTCCACCATTTGGAATACAAAATTATAAGCTTATAATGTACAATATAAAAAAGAAAGAAGGCCTAGTTTCTGCTTATGTAAAATTATGCAATAAAATTCCTTTGGTCCCAGAAAATTCTGATGAACAATCTTCATTTCAATATTAAACAAAAGCCCATTTTTGCCATTATTGCGCAGCTCTCTCTGTCATAATTTAGTATAACACTAATATATATTAATTTCAATAACTTTTTGGAAGAATGAAATGTCTTCTTACCTTTCTTCACTTCTGTAGTCATCAATGTCATTTTTTAAGTACATGGAGAAGTCAATCACCCCGACCTGAAGAGTTCATATAAATTAAGGCAAGTTAAATAGAAATGATAGAAAACAGATTTACATACGTACGATTTGTTACATACGGAAATATACAGTACATGTGTTCTTTACATAAAAATGTACCACCACTGGGTGGCCTAAATTTTCTACAGCAGATGGTGCTAATCTGCTTAAAAATTTTCCAACCAATCTATAAATGTTCCCAAAATTAGAAATCCTCTTTGAAGCACATATTACTTCTTCTGAATGTAGGAGCTGTTAATTTTTCACCTGACCACTTACAGTGGCAAGAAAAAGTATGTGAACCCTTTGGAATTTCATGGTTTTCTGAATAAATATGTCATAAAATGTGATCTGATCTTCATCTAAGTCAGGGGTATTGACAAATATAATGTGTCTAAAAGAATAACAAAAAAAAATTATGATCCCTCATGTCTTTATTGAACACACTCATTCAACAAAATGGCAGTGGAAAAAGTAAATGAACCCTTAGAATTAATAACTAAATGGCCAAATTCTTTGGATCTCATGTGTATGGCTTTCTTCAAGTTATTCTATAGCATCTCTATTGGGTTGAGGTCTGGGCTCTGACTTGGCCACTCCAAAAGGCGGATATTGTTTTTCTGAAGCCATTCTGTTGTGTACTTGCTCTGATGTTTTGGGTAGTTGTCCTGTTGCATCACCCAACTTCTACACAGTTTCAGCAGACATACACACATTCTCACATTATCCTGTAGAATTGTCTGATATACTTGGGAATTCATCTTCCCCTCCATGATTGCAAGCTGGCCAGGCCCTGATGCAGCAAAACAGCCCCAAATCATGAGGTTTCCTCCACCATACTTTAATTTTCAGGTTGGGATGATGTTTTGATGATGATATGCCGTGCCCTTTCTACGCCAGATGTAGTGCTGTGTGGTTTTTCCGAATAGTTCAATCTTAGTTTCATCAGTCCACAAAACATTTTGCCAATACCGCTGTGAAGTGTCAATGTGCTCTCCTGCAAACTTCAGGCGTGTAGCAATGTTCTTTTTGGTAAGCAGTGGCTTCCTCCGTGGTATCCTGCTGTAGATACCCTGCTTGTTCAATGTTTTGCGTATTGTAGACTCATGAACAGAGATGGAAATGAGGAATGAGCTTTTTTGGGTTCATTAACTCAAGGGTTCACATACTTTTCCCACAAGCACTATGAGGTTTTTTTGGTTGTTCTCAATAAAGACATGAAAGATCAGAATTTTTTTTTGTGTTATTATTTTAGACACATTATATTTGTCAATACCCCTGACTTAGATGAAGTTCAGATCACATTTTATGACAAATTTATTCATAAAACCATGAAATTCCAAAAAGGTTCACATACTTTTTCTTGCCACTGTATATTACCTTTATATACAGTAAAGCACCTTTACCTGTACTTGTAGTATAAAATGTATTAGGCACAATAAACATAGCTTTAGAAAATCTAACCAAAGAAATCATCTGAGAACTATAAAACTGATATATCAGACAGCTAATAATGTGGTCCCTAGTAGAAGAAAACAAATCCAAGAGGATTCCCCATACTTGGGTGTCCAGGTCCTCGCCCTTCACACACAGGTTGGCATCTATGACGTTGAGTCCCACCAGGAGACCAACGATGACGGCTCCCTCCTCCTCCAGCATGACTGCTGAGCTTTCATAGAAATCACTAACAACACAAAACAGTAAACAATGAACTTATGACATTGTACAATGCTGTTTTTGAAGCA